TCGTCTTATCCCGTACGTAAAAAATAAAATGAGAAGTTAACGTTTTTCGACACCTGAAGAAGCCGTTGATGCGTTCGGAATGCATGTTTCATAGTGACCTCAATCAAAGTGGCAAAAGTGCTTCTACAATTGGTTCGAACGCATGCAAAAATGTATAGATCTTAATGTGGAGATTTGTGAAAGGCAGTGAAGCGATTTTCGAAGTTTAATATTTATTTTTGTTCTCTAATCCCGAAATACGAAATGTATAGAAAGCAACCTACGTATCACCGCCTGCATAGTTATGAAGATGGCATTGTGAATCATTAAGGCACGAAGCCCGAATCTGCTACTGAGGAATTGAAACAAATTCATTCAATCTTGAGCGGTTGGAGCAGTCCCCTTTCTACTCCAAGATGGAAACAACAGTGCTTCTTTTAAGCGCATATGAGATACTTCCTTACTCCTCAATTACAGGGCCCATCAACTGGATGAGACAGAGAATCCTGCCCTCCATGAGCACCTTCCCCATCTATTATAGATTGGTACCTCGTCCGAATTCACTTTCCCAACTTCCATCCTGCCTTCTGCTTAGCGCGCCTCGTCTTCTATTTGTACTGCTGCGGCTTCTTTTCGCTTTTATGGGTAATTCTCTTAATGGTAATTATTCTTCTGATGTGTCGAAGTATCCTATTCACCAGCACTTGACGTCGGCCGGCTTTCTCCAAAAAGCTGGGTCACTGTTTCCTACAGCTACTACCACGAGTTCTGAGTAGCCCATGCTTGGCTTTTGACAGACGGCGGTTTTCTTCTTCTTCCATTGAGCTGCACACGGAATTGTTCTATTTTATTGTATTTATTTGCAGCAGCCTTGGCTAGCCTTTCTTATAGAGCTTAGTCTGCTGCAGCTAACTTTTTTCTTGACCGTTTCGCTTTCCGGTATTACTTTCGCTTTACTGTTTTGATCGTCACGACGCTGGTTTGTCCCTTGTGCATTCACCCTGATTCAGGAACTGGATCGGGACGTGATAGTACTAGTATCCTTCTTTTGATGTCTTCCACCTAAGTTTGTTACAGCTCCCATCATCGCATTCTCTGCTCTGTTCTGAGTTTTCGTTTTTTGAAGACCTATAATTTCATTTGTGAGGAAAAATTCGACTTCCGTTTGGATTTCTCCGCTGCCGTAGGTTGCCTAATGAATACATCTGTCTAAAAATACTGCAAGTGGCCAATTCGTGTGCTGCCATCAGCTAAAAAAGAGGTCCTCTATCCTTCATCGCTTCTGAATTCCGTTATTTTATTATTAACATGAATCTTCTCTAACGTGCACTTCAACATTCGAGGAGGCTATTTAAATAAGCCGTGAAAGTATGGCAGTGCTCTTCTGCAACTAACCTAATGACCTCAACATGGCTGCAGTAAAACGTATCTTTCTTTGGGATTGGGGCAGCCGGTTTGTAGTGTGTACATATAGTTGTGTTGGATATCATTGTCCGGGTTAAGCCTTTTGTGTCTATACTCACTGACTGGGTCGCCAATCCTGTTAACAATAAAAACAAAGCACTTCAAAGATCTCGTATCTGTGGTGTGGTTATTTCATTTCGCCCTCTCCATTTCAAAAGAATTCTCGGGTATTTGCTCCTCGCCATGTGTCTCCAAGAGGTAAAGGGCATGTGATATCCCACGCTTTACCGAATCAGCCACATTCCAGCGCTTTCCGACGCCCAAGGTCCCATTTTACGCTTTTAGCACCACCATATTTGAAACCGATGTTATGTTCCGTTTGCAAGAAAGTATAATAACAACGGTAATTAGCGAACAGATCTGAATCGGGTAGCTTCCCTGTTTTGCCTTTCCTAACCCAAGAGCAACAAAAGACATTGCATAGGCTACATGTGCTTAATAAACGTCAATTGATTTGATGAATCAGAGAGTAGTGCCTCAAACAACTAAACCAGAACAGGTTTTTCGTACATTTATCCTCCCCTCTTAAACGCTTACCTATCCATCCACAGGGATGCGGATCTCCCAACACGAGAAGTACAAGAGTAAAGAACAACTTCAAAAAATGAGACAAAACACGAAAAGAAAAGCAAACCGAGTACATGAAACGGCGCGCATCAGGTGGTAGAGATAGAGTAGCTTTTATGTAATCGCGTTGTCTTTTTCGAAGGCTGCGATCGAGAATGAGAATCTGAATAGATATCTATCAAAGTTTCGATGAATCTATAATAGCCTCCAACTAGGATTTTTCGATATAATTTAGAGTAAAAAGTTAATTGTGCTCCTTGCTATGAATACCGAACATTTCACTTTTCATTTGATCCTCGGAAAAAACAGAAAAATTTCCCGGTACGACATTTTGGCATGGATTTCAAGGTTTATATGAATCTGATCTTTTGTCCGCAGCCCTGTTCGCTGGAAAGCTTCCGAAATCATGGTGTTGGGGCTATTCGGATCAGCTCGATAGCTTCGCTGCTCCGTCTGAAGCTCAGGAACGAGAATTGCTATTACTGAGAATCCTACAAGCTCGGAGGAACTACGGGACCGTGAATTCATGAGAACCCATGTGGAGTGTACGTAACACTGCTGCTCGCACAATTTCAAATCTGGGCCATGCGTCTAGATTCACTCTTATACACGTAAAATCTACGTAGCTGGAATCAATCTTTGTTGGAAGAAAAACTGAAAAGTTCACGATAAGAGATAAAAATCAGAACCTGCTTTCCAAGTTTTTTGGCAATAACGACTTCTTTCATTTTCATGAGGTCATTTCGGTCAAATCCAGTGATATCCTTAATCGCTTTATAAATAGTGTTGAGGTTGTCTTTCTCACCCAGCACAGACGACGCCAACAGCAGAACGCCAAAGGCTAGAAACATTCCTGGCTGCTCAGAAATATTTGTAGAATGTTTGTGAGGTGAATACATCGCAAGCTCTTTGGGGCCATTTATCAATGATTTTTTGAAAACGTTGAATTTGCCATTTCCATTGGAAACATGCATTTAAGTTTTGTGCACAAATTGCATGACGGATTAACAATATATGCAACAAATCGTGCTGCCATACTGCGTTGTATATTATATTATATATATTAACGATATACAATGCATTTGTACGATGTATAATAAATTTTCCTTTTCTCTTCTCTTTTCTCTTTGAGAGCTCTACAACCACGATTAGAAATCATTTGACTGTAGAGAAGAGTACAAGCTTCGCTTCACACTCTTATTCATATTTGTTGACAGTTTCGCCAGCAAACACATGATTGGATCCAACGTTACGAATTTCATTCAAAAGGATAAATAGCATGCAGTTTCGCTGTTGACGGATTCTTGTTACCTGTTAACCAGATCATCCAGACCTCTCACTAATCGAGCCTCTCGATGTGAAGTGAGGTGACCGTTCCTAAATTTTCTTTAGAACGTTTTCGAAACGTTACCGTTGCGATTACATAATAAAGGGATGTACAGTAGCGCTCAAAAGTCTTCGGTGAAATGGTTCATCAGCCGTCCATTCCAGTCGTAACTCCTGTCCAGTTACTGAATCTAATCCTGCGAAATTTCTATATTTGGAGCGTGGGTGTATTGTGAATATTTACCACTATTAACCTGCAATCTGATCATGTTCCAGATATTCCAAAAGGCATGAAAATAAAATCGACTGAAATTACTGTTGATGGTCCTTCTAGAATCCCTTTCCTTTTTGATACGTCTAAAGTGTACGAGCGGTAATGCCGAACACAATAGATGAGAAAAACGCACATAAGGTGCGAATAAGTGCAGACGTCAGCAACTTCAGTTTTAGCAAAATCTGCTTCCGCAACAAAAGCCTTACTGTATCTGTGGATATTGCAGCTTTGCAGTCAAATAGTGCTGGGTAGGGTGAAATATGCTCTAGTTAAACATATCCAAATTTTGCGCGATTTGGTCTACTATCAAAAAAGTTATGAACGAAAAAGCGTCAAAGCATTTCACCGAACACTTTTGAGCGCTACTGTATGTTCCAAGCTCTGACCCTGGCCCTCATAAGAGTCAGAATAATTGGCTTGGCTTGAAGTAGCCATGAAGCACTCATACTAGATACTAAATGAATATTCACATTGGTAAAAGCAAAGCCAGTGAGTGGACCTCTCGTGCTAAATTTCTTTTATTCGAAAAGTCACATAATTGCGTTCCATGCCTCGTTTTGTTTTCTTAGATATTGAGAATAAGATAAATATCAGTAGTGCTTGTGAGATGTTTGAGACGTTGGAGAGGTTTTCGTAATCTGAGATAGAAATTTTTGAACATTTCGGAGTTATGTACATGCAGAATCTGAGCAGAATCTTGTTTACAAACTGAGTCTTGATCGATGCCGCAGGCCGAGTAGTTCCTCAGCCAGCGCGCGCGCACTCGCGGGCCGGCCGGGGAACTACTTGGCCTGCGGCAGCGATCAAGATTCAAGTTGTAAACATGACCGATGATTCAAAATGTAAACCCTTGCACGTTCAAAAAAGCCCCCCTCAGAATCGCAGTGAGCTGCGCCGCGTGCGACGTAGGCGGCGCAACCTTGGGAACGTACATTCCGCACGTTCGTCAAAATTATGTTAACGCGCCCGCTTGGCGCCCCCACTGGCTGCTTTCATTGTTCGCGAGGGAGCGCACGAGCCGGCCGGGGGACTACTCGACCTGTGGCATCGGCCAAGGTTCAGTTGTGAACAAGGGGCAAGCGCCGCCCCGGGTTGAGACGGGGGACGAATGGCGTATTATGAAAGCAGCCACTTCGGATTGAGATTAAGGTATCACAAGTTCATACATACATCGTCGTGCGCGCGGCGGCGGCTCCCTGCTCTCCTACGTACTGATAAGTTGTTTTTATTTTATTTCTATTTGTACTTTCTGTTGTCTCCGCTTGCTTCGGTTGTTTGTTTTATCTAGCCCGCTTTGGTTCCTTAGGTGTACCCCTTGCTACCTGATTGGGTTTGGGTTTC